GCACAGAAGATGTAGAAGGGATCATCTTGAAGGCTGACAACAACAGTTAGAAAGCAAAATGGTTTCTTTATTGATTTGATTGAGAGGACAGGACAGGAAGAATATTCACACCCTAATACTTTTGTGAGTAGATGGGGTGCTCAGCTCAAACACCTCTGACTTATATTCTACACTTTCTCTTCAACTCATGAAATAATGCAATTTGGCCATGGGCAAGGGAGCCTTCTTATTTAATCCAAAAAGATTTGGTTCCCATCAGCCCATTTTTGCTGAACAGGTGCTGCTATGTCAAGTAGAATGATCTGGTGCTTTTGTTACAGGAGCAGGCAGCTGTTTGGAAGTTTTGGAAGCTGGGAAACCTCTCTTGGTTGTGATCAATGACAAACTTATGGACAACCATCAGTTGGAATTGGCCAGGCAGCTGCACAAAGAAGGACATCTCTTTTACTGCACAAGCAGGTATGGATTTTCCTAACATCCTTGGTTGCCGTGCAGATATTCTTGGCTCTTAAGTCAAAAAATATAGGAGCACAACAGTAAATTGCTTTTTGTGTTTTTAATTTCATTGTTGCTGAGGTTGGTCCTTTTGTTATCTTAAGTTCTGAATTAAGCACGATAGATAGCTCTTCTTTGTGCTATTGCCATGGGGTAATTCCTCTAGTTTTTATTTCCTTTAGATATTTTATCCACTCTTAATTATTTTAATAATTCAAGATGGTAAATATACATCCTTCCTCCTCCTATTTTCCCACAATAACAACCCTGTGAGGTGGGTTGGGCTGAGAAACAGGAACTGGCCCAAAGTCACTCATGCTTTCTGAGAACAGTTTTGAAGCAGAGATCCTGTGAAGCTTCTCCTAAACCAGTAATACATTTCTTTGTCCTGAACCATACTATTATGAACAACCAGAGCATTACCTGAACTCTTAACTTTAGTCAGGATATAAATATTCTATTATTTAGTCAGTGACAACTTATTGGGACATGTATTTCCTAACTAAACTGGTAAAGAGATGCTCTAACATTTTCTCATTCATTTTGTTCAGTTTTGGAGGAAAAATGGTTTTGTCTATGTCTGTCACCCAGCATTTTGAGCTGTAAGTCAGGGGTCCCCAACCGCCGGTCCGCGGACCGGTACCGGGCCGCGGAACAAGCCTTACCGGGCCGCTGGTTGCTGGGCGCCGCCATCTTTTTTTGGTAAAAAAAGCAATTTTTCGTCAAAAAAGATGGCGGCGCCCAGCTGACGCCGGAACCGGGCCGCGGCGCCCAGCTGACG